CTACTCCTCCTGTTCGTCAATCATCCGCGCCAAGTGATCGTGGTTATTCACTTGTGCGCACATGGCCGGGGTCAGGTCAGTGCGGTCACGGGCATTCGTGGGGACGCCCGCCTCCAGGAGGAACTTGACGCATTCTTCGGATCCCACTGTGCATGCCTGGAGGAGAGGTCAAGCAGTTTAGATAGAGTGTGTTCAAGGTCATAGGTCATTCGCTTAACTTTTGTTTAGTTTTTTTTGGAGTATTTTGTTATAATATATATATACACATATATGTGTGCGTATATACATACATACATACATACATATATATATATATATATATATATATATTATTTATAATATATATATATATAGATATATATATATATATATTATATATATATATATCTATATATATATATATAGATATATATATATATATCTATATATATATATATGTTAGCCCCGGAACCCTAATCAATCTCCTACCCCGATCTTACCTTATGGTGATCGTTTTCCACAGCCACTTTCAACGGCGTCTGTCCCTGCTTGTCCCTCACGTGCACAGAAGCCCCATGTTGCAGCAGCCAAGTCACTACTTCTGCCGTTCCATCGCAGGCCGCCATATGCAGGGCACTCCACCCAGAGACATCCAGGAGATTAACCTCTGCTCCCTATGTAATGTTATAAGAGGGTAAATTAGAGGAATCTGTAACGGTGGTAGTAATAAAGGTTTATGGATGAGACATTGGCTAGTTCCGTGATCGAGAGGGAATGGTCGTTGGAGTTTTGGAAATTACATTTTCGTTTGAAAGAGATGGAAATATAATCACAAAACAGCTGATGAAGAAGTAAATTCCAGGTGAATGAAAATATTTCTTATCTTTTAATAATAGCCCATTAATGAGTCACACTCCATCACTCGCGTCAGCAAATGGTAATGAAGTAAAAGGAATAAATATTAATTTAAACTCATTAGTGATTAATGATTATTCCGCATGTTTTCATGCCACTTATTGCAGTTATTGGCATAAAAAGCCAGCCTTTCTCTTCTTATTAATATGTACAAAAGGTTTTAAAATTCCAGACTTGCTGTTGGCATTTACTTTGCAGAATTAGCAACGAATGATTTTCGTAAACTGATATTACTGCGTTTATAAATATTGTACTTAAATGAAATAAGTTCTCGATTTATTTCAAGATAAAAAACATTAGAATCCATTAAACACCTAAAACTTTTTGCTGTACAATTAAAACATCTGTCATGCATATCTGCTATTCCACGTACTGTACTGTACTGTACTGTACTGTACTGTACTGTACTGTACTGTACTGTACTGTACTGTACTGTACTGTACTGTACTGTACTGTACTGTACTGTACTGTACTGTACTGTACTGTACTGTACTGTACTGTACTGTACTGTACTGTACTGTACTGTACTGTACTGTACTGTACTGTACTGTACTGTACTGTACTGTACTGTACTGTACTGTACTGTACTGTACTGTACTGTACTGTACTGTACTGTACTGTACTGTACTGTACTGTACTGTACTGTACTGTACTGTACTGTACTGTACTGTACTGTACTGTACTGTACTGTACTGTACTGTACTGTACTGTACTGTACTGTACTGTACTGTACTGTACTGTACTGTACTGTACTGTACTGTACTGTACTGTACTGTACTGTACTGTACTGTACTGTACTGTACTGTACTGTACTGTACTGTACTGTACTGTACTGTACTGTACTGTACTGTACTGTACTGTACTGTACTGTACTGTACTGTACTGTACTGTACTGTACTGTACTGTACTGTACTGTACTGTACTGTACTGTACTGTACTGTACTGTACTGTACTGTACTGTACTGTACTGTACTGTACTGTACTGTACTGTACTGTACTGTACTGTACTGTACTGTACTGTACTGTACTGTACTGTACTGTACTAAGAATGGAACTGATGTGCTCTGCAACAGTGT